CAAAAGGGATATACCTAAAGAGAATGAGGGAGAAGATCTATGGGGGGGAAGCACTTGGCTAAACCATTAAAAGTTCCTTCAAGATTAATATCTTACCCTTATGTGTGAGGATTTTAAAAAAAAAAATCATCCAATGATCTCAATGTGGTATAAGATTTTAATTATTCACTTGGGTTTAATCTTCAAAAGAAAATTAATTTACTCTTATGATGATTAAATCCAATAACCAACAAGAGAGATATATAAGAATGGTGTGGATGTATATTGTTTAAATGAATGAATTTAAAAAGGACAATATTGAAATATGACGTGAATGATTTTTTTAAAAAATTTAAAACTTCAATGAGGATAGATATAGAATAATGGTGGATGTAATAGCGGCTTCCAAATTCAATCCATATTTAATCGCAATCCCCTATTTAGTGGAAAATTAATAAAAAGGGCAAGTAACTAATTTCTTTTAATTTCTTTGATAAACATAAACGCCAAGTTTAATTCATGGTATTCAAAATTCCATTACTCAACGTATACAATCAACTAATATCATATACATAAACTATGAGTTTAAAATAAAAATTAAATTAACAAATGTTTAATGCCTAATTTCAAGCCTGTATGAAACTAAAACTTGAACCAACAAAATCACATGAATCTTAAATCAAAAGATAACAAACGTAAATCCATACTTACATAGACAATTACGATTATGAAAAAAACCCCAGAAGTACTTGATGGATTCTTCTCCCTTTAATATTGATGTAAAAATCGTCGAACGTTTCGAGTTCTTGGTTGAGAATCAAATCTTCATCTCCAACTAAATATGGCTATGAATTCAAGGTAGAATCGGTGGTGGGGGATGGATTTTTCCTTGATAGTGGCCAAGCTATGTTAGGCGGGAGGGATCCAGGAAATTTTTCCAGTGCAGGCGATATTAGTAAAAGTAAAAAATATATATATTGTTGTGGTGTGATCCAAATTCCATGTGATTTGGTATTTGGTTGATTGGATTCCATGTGATTTGGGATTTGGTTAATTGAAGAAAGTCTAAAGTAATTGGGTTTGTAGAGTCCTAAGTTGTGAAAATCAAATTCAATAATAATTAGGAATTTGGCTTGAATAGAGACTCTTGGATGGTAAAAAGCATGTTTTGAAATATTTACCCGAGACCTAGCGCCTAGGCGCTATAACAATAACCTGATCACGATTTTTCGTTTTATCCGAATTTTGGGACTTCTTCTCCATCTTGGACTCCAATAATAGGGTTTACATATATTTCCACATTGTATCTTCATAATATAACATTCATATATTATTCGTCACATCTTCAACAACATAATGAGAGATTGAGATTTCAGATTTTAATTGAGATTATTGAAATCTTAACAGCAAGCTACACTTGAAGCAG